AGTCTCCTTCTCTGGAGATATTCCAGCCCCGCCTGGACACGGTGCTGTGCAGCCTGCTCTGGGTGACCCTGCTTGGGCAGGGGGCTGGGCTGGGTGACCCACAGAGGTCCCTTCGAACCCCTGCCATGCTGGGATTCTGTGTGATTCTGTGTGGGCTGGAACACAGCTGCGGATGTAGGTGGGAGAGCCACGATGGGGACAACCCGTGGGACACGTCGTGGTCCTGGGGCCAGCTGGCATGCAGAGATGTTCGGATCCAGGCGTGAGATGCGCGTGGATGTGTCTGCTCATCCTCTTGTGGGTGAAACTGGGTGAAACCAGAACTCCTCCATGGGTCCCAGACCCGTCCTGCAGCCCCTCTCCTACGCGACCAGAGCCGTGTGGGCTCCGGAGCCGGGACTCGCTCCCACCGCGCCGACGTCTCCCACCCGCCCCGCGTCCTGGGGTGCTTTCCTAAGTGTCCCTTTCTCTTTGGCTCTTTTGCAGGTGGAGATTTCTTACCCTGGGAGTGAGGTGAACGCGGCTTCCTCAGACAAAGGGGCCCAGTCAGCGTTTCAGACCCCGAGACGCGTCCGGGGACTTTTCATTCTCTGCCTGAAAGGGCGACGGTGCCGTTTCCATTAGAGAGATGCTTGCGAGAGCCGGTGCCGCCGAGCGGAAAGGCGAGCGAGAAGAGCCGCGTCAGCTGATCGGCTTTCAAATCACCTTCAAACCCTCGATTTCCTTAACATGATCCCTCCATCAGCCGAGTCCCCGGGGCACGGCCGGGGGGCTTTGCCAGGAGGAGAATAAACCGGGGACGGCGGTGACAGCCAGCGCTGGAGAAACTCCCCGTGCACGGTGTGGGGCTTCAAAATCCACCCCCGCTGCCTTCCTCAGCTCTCTTGGACTTTCTGGGGTCGGGCAATCGCTTTACCTCACCCTGCAGCCCCCACTCTGCTTTTGGGACACCCGTGTGCTCCCCTGCTTCACCCCGGGAGCCGACTCCAGCCCAGGAGGGGCAGAAACCACCCCCGGGAGCATCCCTGGGGCCGGAGAGCAGGTCCCCCGCGGCGCCGGCTGCCGGGGAAGGGATGAAGACGCTATGGCCAAATTATTGGTAAAACTCCAGCGGTATTTTCGGCGGAAACCCCTGCGTTTCTTGACGCTGCTGGCTCTCTACCTGGCGGCCGGCAGCTTGGTTTTCCTGCACTCGGGCTTCGCCAGGGAGCCCGCGGTGACGGGGAGCCAGCGCGGCCCCGGGGCCGGCGAGGGTCCAGGGCTG